ATTCCACCGACACAAAATAAATGTCTCCGATGTACCACAACCAGTGAACGCCACGAACTACTCAAGATATTTCACAACCGGTCTGCCATACATCGGGCCGTGCCAGGGAGGAGGGGGGGTTTCCGGGAGGTAATTTCTGGTAAAGAATGCCCATTGCAACATTAATCTTACTTCGAACCGCTTCGGAGTTGTGGCGGGTTCAAGGTTCGAGCAGGAAAATGCAAACGAAATTATTAATCCGATGCATCTGTTGCTATATTTCATGAGATAAATCTTGTAACTGTTTCGTCTTCCCAACGGTTTGAACGCACGGCGTTGCTTGTCTTAAACAAGAGTTTACTGTCTGCCCGCGGAACCAATTCGTGTGTTCTCGTTTGTAAGATCCAGCATCAATAATTCCATTTTCAGGGGTTTTGCTCTGGTCACCTCTTTTATTATTATTATTATTATTATTCAGTGTTCTGTCTGACGACAGGTCCATTGCTCTGCCCAAACAGAGCTCTCCAGTTGTCCCTATTCTCGGCTTCTCGCTTTAATTCCTGGAACGTCATCTTCTTTCCTTGTTTAAGGTCGTCGGTTAGCTGTATCAATCTTCTTCCTAGTCCTCTCTTTCCTTCAACCTGGCCTTCGATGATATCACTCAGTAACCCATTCCTTCTCATAATATGTCCCAGCCAGTTAGCTTTCCTTCGTGTAATCGCCTGCAGAATGTTTCTTTGCTCGTTGACTCTCCTCAATACTTCTTCGTTGGTCACTCGATCCGTCCACCTGATCTTCTCTATTCTTCTCCAACACCACATTTCAAAACTCTCCAGGTATTTCTGTTCCTTCTTCCTGAGTGTCCAAGTCTCTGCTCCATACGTAACACTTCACTAGTCTCTTCTTCATCTCCAAGCCCAACTTGCTAGTGAGAAGTATCCTCTTCTTGACGAAAGCTGCCTTGGCCATGGCTATCCTTGCTTTTACTTCCTTGGTGCATAGGGCGTCCGTCGTGACTATGCTTCCCAAGTACTTGAAATGCTCCACATTCTCCATCTGTTGGTTTCCAATTACAACGTTCAATGGTTCTGCTCTCGGTGCTATCCTCATTACCTTTGATTTTATTACACCCCATAAAAAGGAAACAAATAGGGGTAGTTTTGGTCCAGTGATTTTTACCATCACGGTTTCCGATTTCGATGACAAATTAGATCGATTTTTATAACGCTAATTCAAGTAAGCCGAAACTTTACAACAAAAATATGGATGCCATCAAACTCCAGAAAGATGCAGCCACCTTGTCTTCATTAAGGGCGAAGGAAAGAAGATGAAGTTTCAGAAGTTAATTCGTGCGATAATAGCTATCATTTCTTTCTCGCTAAATCCAATTCGAAGTCACCGTATCTCCCCAACGGTTCTAAATACGACCAATATAATATTATCATCTTTTACTCATAATTACGTCCTGAATCAACCCTCGATGTATGAGAAGACCAATTATGAACTACCACTTGCATTCCACCATTTCAAGAAAGTTTCATGCCCTTGTCATCGTCGTTTCAGAGGAGCGGTGCTCACGACTGACTATCACGTCAGTGGAAATGAGTTCCATAACAGAGAAAGTAACTCATCGTCCGACTGACCTGCTGACCGATGGCTGTTGATTGCTCGTTTCTCAGTTCCAGACTTTTGCAGTTATCAACAGATCCTTGGCTCTTACAAAGCAACCAAACTGACCCAGTGATTATATCTTGTCGAGTGACTGTTCACTGACTGATATTTAGCTGTTTAATCGAGTCTTCAGGAGTGACTGACTGACCGTTCTACTTTCGATTTTACATAGTGGTTTTGCTGGGCTCGTTACGACAGGAGACTGCAGAAGTAGGTAGTCAGTAACCCATCTAAATTCTGTACGACGATATCCACTCCAATGTTTGACCGTGCGTTCAACAGAAATACTATTTTGGACAACAACGTCTTCGCAGAGCCGAGATACATGACGTACACCAGCGTTGATAAACGTGGGGCCATAGACCCACGACATCGTTTGTTAATTTGTTACCAGTTACTAAAATCTCGTTTAGACTCCGAAGGATTTGAAAATAAATTGTAATTCGTATCTCGTCTGTCGCTTTACGTACAAGTGACAAACTTCTACTGGTTTGAAACCCTGCTGCAAAACGTACATTTTCGAGATAAAACCTGTCCTAGATATAAATTTAAAATGAAGCCCAACTTCGTAGTGATTTGTGCGTACTTGAATAAAATTTATATTTACGAGGTGCGATCGGAAAGTTTCAAGACTGTGTCAATAGAGGGCGAACCGGATGTAGTACGAGCTTCTTCCGCTAGGGGGTGCGGCCTACATTCATAGTGAATCAGTGTGCCAGCCGGCATCATCGAATTAGCATTTGTTTCTTAGTTACGGGCGTTTTGGTAGTGCATTACACCGACCCTCCTGCGATTTCGGAATGGCGTGTGCATCAAATTTGGCCAAAGACTCGCCAAAACGGCTACGGAAACCTATGAAATGCTAAAGCAAGCATTTGGGGAGTCCGCAATGGGTCGTGCACAAACTTTTGTGTGGCATTCACGTTTTAAAAAGGGCCGAACCTCTGTCCATGATGACGAGCGTTCTGGACGACCATCTTCGAGCACAACGCCCGAAAATGGTACGAAGATTCGGCAGGCCATTCACGAAGATCGACGTCGTACCATCAACGACTTGGTCGACATTGTTGGGATAGGCTATGGGACATGTCAGCTGATTCTAAAGGAAGAACCCCCCATGCGACGCATCCTGTCTGAGACATTCTGAACATTCTAATTCGGAGACGGGAAGTTTATTGCAGCCATAGATGAAGTCCGAAATCCTTTTTAACGTTGCCTTGCCGTCTGTGTCTTCGTCTTCCAAGGTGGCTTTTTGCAAAATGTTTCTTAGCAAACATGTTTCAGTTCTGATTTTGTCGATGTACGCTATATATCCTGTCGCTGTCAACTTGATAGGTTTAATCAAAGTACAAACGATGACCTGCCTCACTGGTTGAACTATCTTCCTCAGTATCTCTGTTAGTTTACCATAGGCACAAATATTGTCTTTAGAAGTTTGTTTTAAATAACGTTAACCTTGGTTTTTCAGTAAGCGTTAAGGACTAAATTTTAGAATCACACAAAACAGAAGTTTTTGATTGTAATTTCATGCGTTTAATGTTTTTTTATATTTAAAAACAGTGACTGATATTCTGAACCAGCGTTTATTTCTTAAATTTATTTCGCTGTGAATGAAGTCTCTTACAATTCTCCGTAACTGTGTGTGGACTGGGTTCATCTGGGTGTGGATCAGGTACTTTCTGTGGTGTGTACGAACAGAATCATTAACCCTCGGTAATCGTAATAAGTGGCCACGGTGGTCTAGCGGTTAGAACCCTGGCCTTGTAATCCTGGGGTCTCGGGTTCGGATTTATAACTTGTGTTGGGCAAGGCCGTGGTCTAGGCAACACGGAGTTTTCCTCCGTGGCATCCCAACAATTACTCCATTCACACACAGAAGAAGGCAATGGCAAACCACTTCTGGATCATCTGCCAAGAACGTATATGAACAGGTCCCAGTCCGAGAAAAAGATGGAAGGATCCTGTTCATATGGACCTGTCGTCACACAGAACACTAAAATAATAATAATAATAAATCGTAATAAGATGGAATTTTTGTTTTTATATGTTTGCTGGATTTTTAAGAAAGATCATGTACCATTGAGATAGTCGTCTCCAGAATTTTGTTAGAGTACTGGTGAATTTTTATTTCCGTTTCAGAAACTCGGTCTCCATTTGGTAGTATCGAGTGACATTTTGTAGACAACGAGTCTCTTGTGTTTCTTCACCGTGTTTAATTTTCACATTTCGTCATGATTTCACAACAGTTGTGTGTCTTGGCGTGGCTAAAAGTGTATTCTAGGCTAAGATAAGTTAATGACCATTCGTCCTGACATTTTGTTGAGTTAATACCGTGTTTCTTTGGATTCCAAACACGTGTATGAACCCACTTTAAGTTGTTGTTTTGAGACAACAGCAAACAGAACCATGAGTTAAATGTGTGGTTTAAGAAATGTTATGTACTTCCGTGTCTACATTGGCAATCGACTTGTGTATGTTTAACCATGGTTTAATTATCTTATCGCTAAAATTGTCTTGTGTCCGTTTTAGTTATGGAGTGACTTGGGATATTAGAGAATGACAATGACAGAAATCATTCGGCTCGACCGACGTTTTTGTGTGAAAGCGACATGGCGATATCAGATCGGAGTTATAAGAAAATGCAAGAGAAAAAGATACCTCTGTAGTCATCTAAGAATATGTAAGAGGATAATATTAAATGGTAATATGAGGAATTATGATTAGAATGTGAAGGTTCTATGCAGCTGGCTCAGGATAAGGTCCAGTGTCTTGATTTTGTTAATAAGGCTTGAATTTTCATTCAATGTTGATTTACATTTGCAAATATCAAATTTTTTGTAATTTGGGTTCATTGCTGAGAGTTCGCTCACACTGGCTGAGTGCTGAATGCGGAGAATTGGCGTGTTGTTTCAATATTCACCAAACACGTGTTAAAATTATGCTAGCGTTTTATTGTTTAAACAGTTCTGCGAGGTCCTACTATTACAAAATGTTGCGAGTATTATTTCAAAAACGAAGTAGACTATTACATTTTTGCTCAACAAGTACTGCTCCAACAATTTATGTTAAAAATATGTTTTTTACGTTTTCTGTTTTATTATGTGTGAGTCTGCTCCATCTCATTCTTAATTTAGCGGTCAGATGACGCAGACTCCGTCTCTCCGGCCAATATGAAGGGAGTGCAGCGTATGGTGTTACCGACTGAGCTCTTGGCAGTGACTGATACCGTGGTTTAATACTAAAGTCTACCGCCAGATGGTGGTAGTCGTTTCACTACCATGCGACACGTGTGTTGCCAACTTTTAACGTTGAGTTATCGAGGTATATATTGGTTTTGTAAGTGTTTTGTTTAGTTTCTGACGTATTGTCTGTCATCTGTTTACATTCGATTTTTGTTCGTGGTCATTGTATCGTAGTTAACCTGCCATCCATTTATAGCAATTTACCTTTAGTAATATTCATGTCTCGAGTTTTGTATGTGGAAAACACACAAGTAAAGTTCTGGGAAAAGTTTTTGGAAAGTAATTGAAGTTGAAGATGTCGGAAGACGAATATAAGTTGTACGAAGCTGGTGAACATTGTTGGGGCATGTTTGTAATTTCTGATAATGTACTTGAAAAACTGTCGGAATTAAATTGCAATGAACATAAGGACGATTCAGATCCTCTACGACAGTTTTTTGAACACCAAATCGATGAAACTGTGGTAAGGCTTCATCGTACTGACGGTGAACATTTACACTGTAAGAGTTAGGTTAGCAGTAGAAAGTAGACAAGTCAGAAGTGCTAATATTTTGAGTAAAGGTGTAATGTGGAGTGAATAATTTAATTCACTCAAAGTGGGCAAAGTTGGTAAAGGAGTGTAATGTGGAGTGAATCATTTAATTCACTCAAAGTGGGCAAAGTTTTGTAGGGATTACTGCCCCTTCCCACTTCCAAAGGTTATACCAGAAACTTCATTCTGAATGTCAGTAATGGCAACATCAAAGTCTACGACAGATCCAGTACACTAATTGTGCTCCTGTTTTATGTTCAGCCATCTATTCAGAATGCAAGATGTACTGTGCAGCCAGTGAAAAGCATCGATACCGATGAGAATGTTTCTTTTGCCATGATGGAAACTGATACTATTTGTATTGATGGAGACGAAAACAAAAGTATAGAAGGAACTGTAAACTTAAACACAGTTGAACAAAAAGACATACCTGATGATCAAGACACAGGTAATGATATCATTAATAGTTGGTGAGTGAAGTGTTGGACTGTTAGTTTATAACCAAAAGAGCTGTAGTGTGTAAATATTTTGGAGACATCTGATTGTAATTGTTCTCAAAACGTTGACAGAAGATGTGGTTTATTCACCTTTCAACCACCTGACATGGCTTATAGCCCGACAGTCTTTCATCAACTTCAGTTGCTGCAAAAGCTTCACTTATACAAAACAGGACTTGTTTGTGACATTCAATGGAAAACACTTAAAATTCTTTGACTCGTCGAGGTTTCCAAAGTAACTGATATATTACTGTGGAGTGATCTTTAATGGTTCATTAAATAGTTTCACATTTTCTATACAAGGTAAAATTGACTTCAAAATTAAATTAAATAGGCAGTTAGTAAAAAGTAAAATATACCACCCCAAAAACAAATTTATCGATCAAGGTTTTAATCTGCGGCCACATGACTGGCCATCCATTCATCCAGCTAATGAAATGCAAATTTCATAAGCAGAAAAATCAGGCTAAAAGTGATTGCTTTTACCTCATTCTTAATATCCTTATTTTGAATGAGATCTATTTTGAATTTTCCATTGTAGCTCTTGTGTCAGTTTCATCGTGCACTTGTGTTAACAGGTTACAGCTTTATAAAGTTAGTATCATGCGTGTGACTTGATGATTGAAGTTCTTTTATGTTGAAGGTGGAAACAGCGTGCAATATGAGGTGCCAGACTTGACGTGCCTTTTGGACGAGCAGGCGGCTACAGTTGATCAGTTGAGCAGTGCCTCAGAGCAGCAGCTGGTCTCCGTTCTGCCCGTGTTGTCAGACGCAGGCCTCGTTCATATCTGCGCGCTTATGTGCTCGGTGTCAGCAAGCGAGCAGAGCAAACTTGGATCGCTCGTGTGCCGACTACTGCTCTTGCCCAGGGTAGGTACCGGCCTCAATCGATCTCTGAATACACGGCTGAACTGGGAAGGTGCGGTACACACTAGACTACGCAGAGTTTCCACGTGCTTTTGTTCTAAGCCGGCATTCTGAATGCTCCTGGCTGTTACGAATAGCATCGATCAAGGCGTTAACGTCTTATTCACAAAAAAGCTGGAGGACAGTACGGCCTAACTTATATAGTTCATGTCATTGCTGTCTTTAAAAACCATGAACTTAAGCTGTAAGGACTAATTTTGGTTGTTCTGTCTGTTTTCTTGTTTTATTCGTACCGTTATCATAAACCGGTTGTTCAGACGATTGCATAATTCAAAACATGGGGCATTGACTTCATGTTTATATATTACAAATTATTTAGTATGTGCAATGCTTGTTGCGGTTTATCTAACATATTGGTTTTAGAAAAGAGTATTCATAAAATAATTTTTTTACCTCAATTAGACTGCCTAATTACCTGACCGTCAATCTACTGCGATACTGGGAACAACCCGTTCTTGAAGTGCCTGAGCACTACGGGTCCCAACTTTTCATTGGCTTGATCTATAGACATTTTGGTAGGACTCCTTTGACGAGGGATCGGCCCCGTCGCAAGGCCTCTACCTATTTACAGGACAGCACAACACAGAAAAAACGTGGACAAACATCCATGGCTTGAGTGGGATTCGAACCCACGGTCCCAGCGACCAAGCGGCACAAGGCCCACGCCTCAGACTGCGGACCCCATTCCATCAATCTACATGCGTCAAAACTTCGTCTTATCGTATATGCTTGATTGTCTACTTGGTGAATGAAAATTGAAGTTTGCTGGTTAGTGTTTCTGCTTCAAATTCAGGAGAGCTGAAGTTCAGTTATTCAGCTATCTTGACTGAGCTGTTGCGGTTTTTCCCAGTTACCACAAACAAATCCTAATGCTGCAATACCACATCAAATACAGCACTGTTACGTCCATCCACATTGTTTTTCGATCCATCGTCATAAATATCAACCTGTTTGATTATATATAACGTATGCAGTTGATATGACTTTGTTGTGTAAACTAAGGACGGTTCCTAGTATTGAGGTTCATTGACTTATTAAAAAGTAACATTATTTTGGTTAGTGAGAAAAATTGTTTGTTAGTTTAGTCGATTTTGTTAATGCCGTTGCACAATCTCCCTTGTATTCAGGGTCGTAGAGTTATTATTTTGTTGTGTTATATTGCCACGCAGCTTCAAGGAAAGGGTCACGAACCCTGCAGTCGTGCAGTTGTAAATGCATTAGTCAAGTTCACCAAGAGTCTACCGCATCTAAGCTGTGCAGAAGTTCTGCTTCCCCTGATGCTTACGTCAGACGCCGTTGATGAAAAGGACGCCGCGCTTCAGATTATCTCAGAAGGTCTTGGCCCTCAACATAAGGAAAACCTGCTAAGGTAGCAAAACATTTTTGTGTTCGCAGTTTTGATATATTTACGCCTAGATAGTCTGAGGCTTGCGTACCAGCACGAGTAGGTTACTTTATAACCGTGCATAAAGTAGAGCAGCGTTTCTCAACCTATGGTACGCGAACTAAGTAAGAAAATTAAAAGATAATATTAACATAAATAAGTTTTTCCCTGAACGTGTTTGGTTAGTGGTATATATTTAATGTGTTAAATTATAATTAGTGGTATGCCAGCGTAAAAGTTTGAGAACCTCTGCTATAGAGCATATTCTAGAAACTACAAATAACGTAATGCTGATTGTAAATTTCCTTTGTCTTCATCTGGCAATAAAGTTGAACCTTAATACAGCGCCGTTGTTTGGGTACAGGTTCATTTTCTGTCTTATAAACTACACACATTACAAGTGAAATTTACAGTTATCTAATTTTGGAATCCCTGCATGCTGTGTTTTGTATTTCCACCACTCGAGGGCACCTGCGTCAGCCGTCTGCTTCTGGACTGGGCATTCGCACGCTTCCTTTCTTTCCGTCTTACCCTTTACATTTCTTCAGGTTGTCAGGTGGCTGTAATCTCACTCCAGAACTTTGCCCTGTTAGTTTCCAAAATTGTGTCTGGCCTGGTTGGAACGTCAATGGTCAAAATCCATGACTGAACAGCCAGTAACCATTTTTCTTAGCAAAATAGAAATATATCATCAAAACAACCTTTAACTTTTCATACCAAAATAATAACATGTTTTACCAAATTAATGTAGCAGAATGAGTTATGCAGCTGCATGAAGAATATTGTACAAACCATGAATCATTTCTGTGGTATCATGCAAAGTTTTATACCTATTAAACACAGAACACATCAGAGAACTCCAGCGAAAACATTATTCAATAACGTAACTATATGACCCTTATGGTACCGTATAAGAGTTAATATGGCCATATTAAAACATAATTAAACTGCAAATATGCAGAGCATACATTGCAAACAAAATAAGACTTCAGTAAACCGAGGCAGGCGGGGATAACACACTACCGATGTTTACACGGTCCGCTCATTTTTACCAACAGCAGGTTTCAGTTGTGATGATATCGCCTGAAGTGGGATAGACCGGCCTCACCATAACTGGTATGAGAAAAGATTGTGACCAGAAAGGGCAACACCGTCGTGGTCACAGCTTTACCGCAGTTTTGTTTTGAGCATCGCTGACGGGGGTAGTTCCTGCATAACACTGTCTTTAAATTTTTTTTCATCATTGTAGTTCTGGTCCATATGTTGGGGACTCTGAAAAAAATTCTAATGGACATTGTGCTGCAGCCACGTGTTTATTCTGGGCCGGAAAGGAACTTTGTTGGGAGCAGTTCATTATTGATTTACAACTGTGTTAGTTAACGAATGCTCAATTAAAGATAAGTGTGGCAGGTTTTCTAAAAGGATGGTGGGGGGCACAGGGACAGATGGTTGGTGGAAACAGATTTATCAAAAAACTACTTAGCCAAAAAATTTTCTCATATTGACCATGGCCACCACATGACCCATAAAACCACCACTCCTACATCAGCCCACTACCAACTACAGTGCCACCACACAAGCTGTCGCTATCACCGTTCCCAATGCCATCATTACAAATACAACTGTCAATGCCAGTACCAATAGTACAGCCACCCCAAAGGCTGCCATCATGATTACTCAGTTATCATCGTTGTGATCATAACCACAGCCCCAACGTCTCGACCACCAATTTCAAGTCCACTGCCGATATCACGATCGCCATCAGCACCCATTTTCACTAAGAACTTCTATAGAAGACCACTGCTACCATCGCCAGTGCTACGTCCACCACAGTCGCCATCAACATCTCCTCCGTTGCCTCCAGTATAGTCCGTCCCAAAAATAGAGTTAATATGATGTTTAATTTAGAGTTCAACAAAATCTTGAGCTAGCAATGGTAATTTAAAAAAGTGACACTGGCTTTCAAAGAATCAAATAAGACCAGATGCAATCATTATTATTTTTAACACAATTTTTGAAATCGTAACTTCGTAATTAAATATTTCTACTCTTTACAGTATCTGTAACAGTAATTGATCAGCACATAGGCATTTGATGCAATTAAAGATTAAGCATCTTAATTGAAACCGTGTAATGTTGCAGAAGTTTTCTGCAGTGTAAGCCTGAGAAACTGGATGAGTGGAAGATACCTCTTCTGCAAGAACTGTTACTCTCGCCCTGCGACGATACTGCCAGACAGCATCTAGTTCAGCTATTGGCAGATTCAGCGAGTGACTTCTCTTGCAACACTCGCTTTGCGAAACTGCTGATTAGCGTCATACAGCAACTCGGTCCCGGAGCTCCCGCTGATGTCCGACAGCAGTTGGCCGAGCTGGTCGGTTGTAACAAATCTGTCTTGAAGAGAGCTGCTGAGAAAGCACTTCATGCATTTTAGCTCTAGTGGGAAGGAAAGATTGCCTTCATCTTGCCCTTAAGTTCAAGACCAGATCGGCTGTTGCGCCGGAAGCTTGTGAGTCTCCGCCGTCATTGAAAGTGACCGTCGAAGTTATGGGAGAGCCTGTAATGCCCTCTTTCCTCCATTGGCTTCAATCTATATTATGAGGCTGGCAGAGATTTTAAGGATTATAAATCTTTTATTATTGCAGAGCGAGTCCTACGTAACTCGGGACCCACCGCTTATTACGCGACAGCCGCGTTCTGCGTTGTGACTAGTTCACTCACTTCTGCTGTCGTGGTGGGATTCACATTAAGTGGGACGTACTGTACAATGTAATTATTCTTTTGTTTTCATATTTTCACTAATATATATTTTTGACTTTAAATTTGCCACACTGAATTGTTTTGTGATACACCATAATGTTGATTTTTTTTAAAATCTTTCAATATTAGCTGCGTAAATGAAGATCATTCCAGTCGTGTTCGATATACGGAGCATGATCGACTATCTGCTTTGACCCATTGACGAACAGATTTTGATAAACTTAACAAAATGTTTGTTTTCTAGCATCACACCGTTATGAAATAGCGGTATTGGGATTTGTGGTACAACTGCACACGTTCATAGACTTCGCTGAGTCGTCAGCTTCGCATTTATTTTATTTTTAACCCTGAGGAAAGAGCCCACGGTGGTAAATGAAGAGAAGGGTGCTAGGCCCCAGAGTTGGTTGGGTACATTGGCCAACCACGACACTGACCAAGCTATATGGGGTCACCATTTTTGTCATGTGTTACAGGTTAGGTTAGGTTAGGTTAGGTTAGTTTCTGTCAAACATTCCATGTTGACTCCAGTGAAGGGTGGTGTATTCTTGAAGATTTCTTCTGTCTTCTGGGTTGGTGAACATCGACCAGACTACACAACGCAACAACCCAGAAGACAGAAATCTTCATACTCACCGCTGTGAAAACCTCAAATCATAAATGGTGTATTCATGTTGTTGGCTTCGTGGGCACTGAATCTTAATGCTTCACGTCCACAGTTCGAGACTTAGCCGGAATGAATTTTCCAAGCAACCAGTAAGGTACAGTAAAACATTTAAGACTTTAAATTTTTACAGTGAAAAGAATTAATCAAATCTCAACCAGAAGTGTATTCCGAATGGATGTTGCTGATCAGCGAAAAGATTTTATCATAAATTACATATAATATTTAAAATCAACAGAGATATACCGAGGCCAGAATTTTCGACACCGTCTTCGAACATCACGTACAATTTTCTGATCTGTGTCGTGATACATGTTTGAGATGTAGAAAGTGGCCCTTCCGTCTCGTATGTTAAAAGCTGATACGTCTTCAGGTGAGGTAAATTATTAGCATAATCTCGTGATATTTTGGTTTGGAATAAGGTAAGGACCTTAAATAATGTAGGCTATACACTTATATTAAACTTTATTTGGCGTGGTAAAATTCTTCAGTAGTGGTAGTAGAGTGGTAATAAAATAATTATTGTATTCGGCAAATAAAACAGCAACTGGCGTCTCGATTAACACACACACAAAATCCTCAAAATTCGTGTTGTTTCATTGTGTTGTAGTGCATATGATAAATGTACGATTATTTCGTGGTTAATAGTGTGTTCGTAGGAATCGGGCATGCTTGAGAGTTTGAAACTTTCGTTGCACGTTTGATTTTGTAACGCCCTTCCTGTGTGGTGCAACTGGTTTATATCCACTCGTACCACGAATTAGTACTCATCGGAACGTAGACCAAAGGAAGTGCTGAGCTTTTAGTTACTGGATTAAGCGTGTACTGTCCACATGACGAGAAAAACCCAGCTGGCGGAAGTCGTTTCTGGCCAATGCGGGGGGAATGTTACTTATCAGCTGGGCTAGAGGGCTGCTATTGGTGGGAAGGGTGATATGTCAGAGTTTTACGCTACTACACAGACTGAAAACATCAAGCAGTTAAGAGTAGCGTGTAGTGAGCGCACCTCTAATGTGTTCTGTGGGTGTTATGATAATATTCTAGATTAAATCGCTGTGCCACTGTGAGGTAATCTTAAAGCTGTACCCGTTAGAACACGTGAAAGCCTGTCGTCTGTTGTTCGTTCAGTGGTTGTGGAACGAATGCTTTTAGGATGGATCGTCACTCACCGCGAAATCTTGCGCATGCGCGTATATCGAATTCCTAGCAGGGACATTCTCCTGGCCTGTGGACTGTACGTGAACCGTGGGAGTTTGAGACTTAGAATGAGCAATGGTGTGTTTGTTGACATGAGGTAGCTGGATGTGTCTATTGATGGTCGTAGTGGACGACAGGATGAACAGAGTGCCCGGATTTCTCGACCTGCGCCTGGAAACCCGTGTGCTTGTCTGCAGTGTAGTGTACGGTTCGCGTGGTACCGTCTGCTTCAAGCAGCTTGTAGTAGCCTTCAACTTTGTGACCGTCACGTTTCTCAGCCTGTTCCTTGATGTCTTGGGTGTGTGGGTCATTCACTTCATATTTGAACTCGTATTTTGGGTGGGCCTGCAGAATGGCATAAGAAAGAGTTACATTTTATTTATATTTTCCTTTTGCAACAAGCACATAAAGTGTTCCTTGTCACCATGACGATTCCTAGTGTATCCCGAAGAATGGAGAGGGATCCAGGAGGAAGATTGGACGGACGCCTGTTGAATTGGTTTCGTTAGGACACGGGAATTAAAATTGATAATAAATATTAAGCAGAATTTCTTCACACGGAGTCTTAGTAGCAATGTTACGTGATAATTTGATTCTTAATCTTATGCAGCTGTCATGTACATGGGGAGGGTTTCGTATGTGACAGTCCCCTGCTTGTGTGTAGCTTCAAGTAAATCGAAACATGTCACGAACAGCAGACAAGGGGTGGTGACTCAACTTGGCGGGTTTTTCTAAACGCAGTTCCATAAAGGGAAGAGAATTTTTTTTTGGGCTATCTGAGCTTACCAATTTCTTCTCAAGAAGAACCTTTTTTTAGAATTAATTACGTAATTAGTAGTAATATTAAGTGGATCGGAACTGCACTCGAAACATAGGCTTGTATGTGAACGTTGAACATTCTCTGTGGAGTTTCATTTTCATTATACACGAAAGTTATAAAACGATCAAACCTTGGAATTCTCTCTAACACGCCTTAACATGGCGTCTACCTTCGTCTGAGTTGCTTGAACTCTTTCCACGAGGGCTTCAATAATCCTGGGAAGGACTGCATAGATAAACGTGCACCTTCAGATGTCACCACAGGAGAAAAAATCCATCAGAATTGGATCTGGCTACCGAGGAGGTCATGCTGTCGGCTGTCAACGTCCAATCCACGTCCCGTTCAACCACTTCCGGACATCTTCCCACATTGCGCCGGAGTCACGTCTTCAGGCAGCCATGGTAGAACAGTTTCCAGATAATCACGATGTCTTCGAGTAGTCGGGTAACAGATAAGGGCCCACAAGACAGCAGCCAGTCACTACACTAACTGAGGTATTCTAGTTGAATTTCGAGTTCTAGAGTGCAGCGTGCACTTACGAGGTGCGATCGGAAAGTTTCAAGACTGCGCCTATAAAAACCCGTACACTTATCTCAGGTATTAAATTCATCCATCACCCTCGAAGTAGTTCCCCTGGGAGTGAAC